ATCATGAGAATTACTGCTGGAGATGGCCTGTTTTGTGACCTTGATAAAACCCTGCCGTGCTCCGACCTGGGGCGCTGATGCTGCCGTTTTGTGTACCCCTAAAACGGGGGAAGACGGTATTTTCGCAGACCGCAGCAATCGGCGGCGGAAAGGGAGTGCAGAAGTGTAAAAGGCGTGTGCGCTTTCTCGTTCTTTGCCGCCTGGAGTTTTAAGTTTTTGCAGCTCTCCTGCGTGAAAAGAGCTACATTATGATTTTTGCAGGCCTCTTAGGCTAAGTTAATATTAAAAAAAGAAAAAATAAATTCCTGATGTATGCCCAATCATTGCACGTGTTCCCTTAGTTTATCAAACTCCTGAAAAACAAAGAGAAAAATGAATCCTAAATGAACTCGCTCAGAGATAATCAAATCTGACTTGTTTACATGTTTGGTGCTGGTATTTCAGTATGCAGCTGCTACATTTTTTGAAAAAAATCTTGGCTAAGTCACTTTACTCCGTTTTTTGTGTTTCTCTATGCCAGACCACACCGGGGAGGGATTCAGGTCTGTGTCTAGGAGTGATTTGTACTGCTAACTTTCTTTTGGGAAAGGATGGGTTTAGATGCGTCAAGGTGTTAAATGCACCATAGCCGGCGATTTGATTGCGCTGGGAGAAATGCAAATGGTGACCTGCCTTCTCTTTTAGAAAATATGTGTCTCTATTTTCAGCAGAAAAGTCGTTCTTAGACTGTGATTCACCGCTCATGGAAGGAGGAGGCCTTTTGAAATGGTAATACAATCCTAGTCAGCCTGAGCGAGACATTTAAGGTAGTTCCCAGGTGGCGCAAACGGAAGGAAAGCCTAGGAAGAACATTTTCCACATGGGCGCTTGGTTTTGAAACCTCCTCCTCAAAGTTTATTCATTTTGAAGGATGTACCTCCGACTGATCCCATTTATAGAGTCTTTTTCTATGGATGATGGAGTTATAAATTTGAATCTGGGTATAGGGGCTAGTTGAATTTTGGTGTATTTTTATATCAAATTAATTTTTTAAAAATTTTTCCATTGCCTTTTCCCGGATTTAGGGTGAATAAATTCCTAGGGATTTCATGTAAACATATCTGTAACTGCTGACCAAAAATCTCATAACCCGGAATAAGTGTTTTGAGCTATAATATTTCTCAAAATAAAAAATGTTTTCCTAATTGATTCATCATGGGGAAAAAAGGATGATCCAAGAAGCTTCTGGTATACTGTGTGGAAATGTAATGTGGACACCAATCAGAAACTTTTTTTTTAAACTCTCCTGAACAAATATTTCCTTTGGCATACAAAGTTGCAAAGAGGAGATATGGCTAGCTTATCACTTTAAAAATGGAGCGTCCGACTTACAATACCAAGTTATTTTAACACCTAAAATCCACAGTGCATTACTCGATATCCCTTTACCATTATGTTTTTGTGATCATAGCCATGATTATTATAAATATATTGCTATTTAAAATGCTGACTTATTTGAAATTTGGAATGTGATTACGGGCCTCCTATGTCGGAGTTTGCAGGTAAACTTTTACAGATTGAGGTTCAGAATGGTTTTTCGGGATGGAAAGTGCACCTTTGTACAAGTGCACATTTAAATTTATGAAAAAGGGAGCCAATTACCAAGATTCTATAAAGTAAGAGAATTATTATTATTTTCTATTATTTGTACATAGTCATCACTAGGTGGAGGCATACTTTACATATTCTTTTAAATGTGTCCTCTGTTATGGGCTGAGATGAATTGCACTGATACTACATAGTTCAGTGAATGATTTGATTTTTTCCCCCTGAACTATCTGAAGTAACCTATTATCACCAAATGCCAAACTCTCAGATGGAGTAAGCAGAGTTGTGCTTCAGCCGTTTTCAGTGCTGCAGTATGAAAAATGGCTATTTATTTTAAACCTGGTCTCTACTGAGGTCTCTCGAATTAGATTAAGAGCACATAGTTCATGTGCAGTAAAGTTAAAAGGAGACACCATCCAGGTGTCACGGAGCAAGAGATTAAAACAACCAATGTCTATCCATTTTCATACCACGTCCTGGAGTATTTAAATCCACATAGAATGGATTATCTTTGTTTTTTGTTTGTTTGGGTTTTTTTTGCTGTGGTAGCACTACCCGTTCACAGCCCCGCGTATTTTCTCATGGTGCAGGGCTACCTCCTACAGATCGGTTTGGCTGCAGTAGGTTTTGGATAGACCAGGCTGGATTTTCAGTGAGGGTAACAAGACCCACCTCCCTTGATGCCAACAGACTGATCTTGCCGGAGCTTGTTCGCTTTACACCCGGGCCAGCTCTCACGTGGTTGTGTCGGAGCACATCCGTAGCGTCGTGCCTCTGCTTCTCACGTGCGTTGCTCCCCGGCAGGGCAGCGTCCGTGCGAGGCCGTCCTTGGCCGGCGCAGGCACAGCCCGAGCGGCGCGTCGCCAGGGCCCTGGGTGGGTGTTCTCCCAAGTGGAAACCCGTATGGGTGGACGCGGCAGGTCGGACACAAGAGCTGGCTAGATTGTGACTCTTTACAGCTTATTACATCCTCTGGCTTTTATTGTAGGAGTGACTGGAGGAAGACGTGTCGCAGCACACAGATTATAAAGAAAAAGTACAATTTATTCAGAAAATGCTGCCCACCTTTCAGAGTAAGACACAGATTCCGTTTTAAACATCCTGTGGAAAGTGGGGGGAATACATTTTTATCTCTCTGACATTTTATCATATTTTGGAAACTGATATCATCACTGTTGAGAGAGATCTCCTGTACTTTGATGCTTCTTAGCCCCAAATTGGCAAAGTGGAAACCGCTCTAGCCTCAGGCCTTCTCACCTGGGTTGTCCCTGCTGAGGCCATGCTCTGTCCTCACTTGGGGGTTAAGCCTGGCAAAGCTCTCTGTATCCCCCCGCTTCCTTAGAGATAGCTGCAAAAACACAGTAAAGGAGCTGAAATATTCCCCCCCTCCCTTTTTTTGTTTACTTTTTTTTTTTGGTAGTAGTTTGGAATCACACTTTTAATAATTATATTCACATTCTAAAATTAATTAAGCAAATACATTGGTTATAGTTTTGGTTTGATTTATAGAATGTAAATTGTCGGTTTTGATGCTTTTGCTTCAAATGGGTTTTTTGGAGCTAAGGCTCTTGAATAAGAGCCCTTCAAACCAAGCTGTTACTCCTGGGAAATTCTGTAGTGGTATGTTATTGGCATTTGAAAAATGCACACCTTCTGAGAAAAGGCAGGAAAATTCTGTCAAACAGACTAATGGGAATTCCCAAGTTTGGAAATACAAGTTCTGTTGGAAAACAATGGCAGCACGATGTAGCTAAGGGTGTAGTTGGAGTGGAAAGGAATGTGTTTTCAGCATTGTATAAATTTTCTTCTTTTTTCCTTGTCATTCTGGAAACAAGTATTCTACATAATCAGGAAAAAGTGCAAAGTAAGGAATAAGAGAGAGTAATGTCTGTTGGAACATAACATAGACTTTACCAGTGCAGAAAAGTGTGAAGAAATATAGTAAAATTGAATGTAAACAAAGAAATGAGGAAAATAAATGTGGGAGTGCAGAACTATGTACAGGGAGTAGGAAGAATGTGATCCAATAGTAGAAGATCAAAGGAAGGGAAGCCAATTTTTTCAAATATTCGGTAATAACTTAGATGTAGTAAGGTAAAGGATCTGAACAAAGGGTCAGAATGTCACAAATGTGAAAGGAGGGAAAAAATATATATAGCAAGGAGTGTAGTTGGTTTGTTTATTTATTTATTTATTTTAAGGATCAATTATTTTCTCCATCTCCTGATATTTCAGGACACTTTTATAATTACTACTATTATTTTTGCTGCCTCTCATGCACACGGGCTGCCTCCCTCTCCCCCTCGCAGGCAACACTTTTCCACTTGCGCAGATTTGAGGGGGCAGTACCGTCTCGGGGGTTCTTTGCAAGATGCTCGTTTCCCACCACAGAGAGGTGGCATTGCCAGGACTCTTCAGGGGACTCTCTGCCAGCTAGCCTGAAAAGCTTGCAGAGGAGTGGGAGATGATTTGCATACTGCCCAAGCAGGGATAGATTTGTACATCCCTCTTGGCTGAATAGTGTATTCTGAGGAAATAATGACACTGAAATCATTGCATCTTTTGTAGAATAGGTGCTGGACTGTGTCAAGCTATTAGGGTCTGACCCATAGTTTATCCCCCCGCACCTGATGCTCTTTTTTTTATTTGAATGAAGATTTCTTTCTACCTGTATTTCCCCCCTCTAATTTTACCTTTCTCTAGTCTTGTTTTCCTTCCCTTTTACCCTCTACTTTACATTTTTGTATTTTAATAACATATTTTAAGTCATTTTTCTCTTGTTCTCAACGTGATGACAGTGTATCCTGATGGAAAGATAATAATGCCCAAGGAGGTTTTCTTTTATGAATTCTGCTGGTGTTACTTTCACATGCACAAATATATCATCTTGATTTCTAGCTCTGGGTCATTTCATTGCTCTTGTATGTCTTGCTATGAGATGCTTCCTGTAATTAAAAGATTAGGTTAAATAGATTATTTGTGCTGCCCTGTCTACATAAATGTTCCGTTTCTGTGCCTCTAGATACTGGCTTTTGTGTTTTAAGGCAATGTTGTGGTACATGAAGTTGCATCATGTCGTCTTTGTCTTTAAGATGCTGACTTATTGGTAGCAGAAGCAATCAAATAAGACATTTACTGCCATAGCGTCGTGGGGGTCAGTGAATTAACAGGTGCCAGTGAGACAGGTTCTAAATAAGTGTTTTAATCGTTTCTAAAGTATTTAATTAATAGACTTTTTTGAGGAGTGGTGGATGAGGAGACATAATAAATGTTATATCTAGGAAACTTCCCCCCCACCACACACACCCCATGCAATTTAATGTGTTTGCTAACAGAAAACAAACTTAATTGCTGTGTAGTAGTCAATGTTAAGCAACTATGAGACTTTCCAATGTGTGGGTATCACAGAATCGTTTAGGTTGGAAGGGACCTCTGCAGATCATCTAGTCCAACCTCCAAGTACCTCTCCGGAATTTACCTACATGTACTGTGATATTCTTGCATTTATAATCTGGCTTGTGCAGAGAGCATTTTGGAGGCAGGTTTCTCCCAGGAGACATTACAGTGCCTATTGCTACCTGCAGAAACGTGCAGCTTCTGGGGGGTCCCCCAAGCCTCTAGATGGTTATTTGGAACCGTAATTCAGGTGGTCGTGCAAACCCATTGCACTCCTCTGCTGCCTGGTGACAGAGACGTGTGGGGATGCTGGTTCCTCAGGTGAGGAGACTTAGCTCGTACCTGGCCTCTTGCAGGCAAACCCATGGCGCATGAGCCAGCTGCGCTGCAAAAGCCCTGTAGCCATATTAGCGTAAGCTCAGCCTCTCGGCCCGGCTTGGCAGCTTGGCACCGTGACCCCTAGCACAGCTACACGTTTGCAGTTGAAAGCCAGTTCACACCTGAGACTACAGGCAGAGTCAAATCAGAGCTGTCTGTAGAAGACTAGGATCGTGTACGCTGAGGCTCCCGAGCTCCGTGATGCCAGAATCATCCTCGGGTTTAAACTATGTTGTTCTTTTACCAGTTAAAGCTTATCATTTTATTCTCTGATTCATCTAAATACCTAAGTTTATACTTACGGGCTACACCAAGTAGCCGCCGTGGAACCAAGTAGTGAGTCCTGAACGCGTGCGCAGCGGCCGTCTTGGAGTAGCGCTAGCGCTCGCCGGGCTGAGCGCTAGGACGAAGGGCTCCGGCTCGCAGCAGCGTTCACAACACCTCCTTTAAACAGCGATACTGTTAATGCCATAGCGACAATTTTGGCTGTTTATGCTTAAAAGTGTTTCCTTGCTTCTAGCATAGCCTGTTTCTCTTGATTTCAGAGGAACATTTCCTTTTCTGTTACTTTCCTAAATTCTCAGTCTTTATTCTTTGTTTGAAAAAAAAAGGGGGGGGGGAAGGAGGGGGAAAAAACAATCAGTTCTGTGTCCGAGCTACTTTTGATTTCATTTAATTCCTCCTGAGGTCTCCTTTGTTCTATTTTTTTTTTTAAACTTTCACTAAACATCCCTGTCTTCAGGAACAATATATGCGATATAGCCAGTGTAGCCCAGTTGATTAAAGACTGTTTTCTTGCTCCTTGCCTGGCGCAACTATTGAAGTTAATAAGCCCGACTTCAGAAAAAGCAGCCTAGTGGAGTTAAGCAGGCGGAGGGCGTGAAAGGAGCTCAGGGGTGAGCGACCACCAAGATGTGTAAGGCTTCGTCAATTTGTGCAGCAAGCTGCGCGTTTCGCCCCGTCCCTACCGCTTCCTCCTAGTTAGCGGTGACTACGTAAGCCATCTCGGTCCTGACGGTCCTCAAGCACCAAAGTGTTGATGTGGAAAGCTGTCTTCAGTAGCTGGCCGGCGTCCTCGTGCGGGAGAGCGCTACGTTAATGTTCGTTCGCAGGCTGTCCGTGGCGTCGCTCGCCTCTCTTTCGTTAAGGCGCGTCCTGGGGTGTAATGCGGCACGTTTGGAGAGGCAGAAGCAGTTGAGGAAATTGATTCTGTGTGTCGTTTCAGTTCGATAGACCTTCGCTCTGAAATGCTGGAGTACGCCAGACTGTTCCACTTGAGCCACCTTTTACCGTTGTCAGTGCAGTAATAGCCTTGTTATCAGCTTGTGTGAATTAATTTTGTCATATTAGGAGGGAGAAGTTGCCGTGTCACAAGACCGGGAAATACAGTACTGACTGCCTCGGCTGACCGGCCGGTGGATTCACTGACTATAGTTCATGTGAGGAGCGTAATCCTGTTGTTTTGGAGCGTCACTTCTAATTAAAATGGAATACTATTAGAGTAATAAAAACGTATTTATATAGTGTCCAGGCCTCTTGGCTACTCTCAAAATGCAACTAAAAACATAACAATTGTGGTAGCAACATTGCTTTGTAGATCCCTGCGCTAATAATGGGAAATAATAGAGGAATAAGATTGTAATATATTGCGTTCCGCCTAAGAAGGAAACAAAATGTTTCCTTAAATGTGGATGATCCTGAGGGAGTAAAAAAAGCCAACTACTTCTAGAGGTTGCTCTTGTTACTTAGAGATTTTGAACGCATACAGATCTATGGAAAATGTGTGATATAGAGGGCAAAACATTTATCACCACTTGGACTGGATCTTTCAGAAGGGCATCGTATGATAGTGCTACTTTTCTCCTTCTGCTTTTTTAACTCTCAGTTCTACCTACGTTTTCCTTCACGCTGTTTATCTTTCTTCATTCACTTACTATCTGCAGACCTTTTACGAGGAGCGTGTAATGTGTCCATTTATTATCTCTAAGGATGCTCAGTGCACTAGGCTGGGCTTGAAGTGATCCACGTTTTCTTTCCAGCTCTGTAATAAGTAGAGAAGAGTGTGCTTATAATCAGTCAAGGTAAAATAATTGGAAATGGGAATAATAATATAGCAATGGCTAATGTGTTTGTCAGCTCAGCTGCAGTGTTTTTGGTTTTCTGTTTAACTCGCTGAACGTGTACATGACATGTTGGGTAAAGCAGTCCTTTTTGTGAATTTGGTGTACGTAAAACTGATAATATAATTAATTTAAAGGCAGATTATATCTAACAATGTACTAAAAAATTTCAGACGCACCTCTGCCTCTGAGAGTGCCGTTTAGTTGTTGGGTTTTTGGTTTTCTTTGGGTTTTAGTCTCTCAGAGAGCAACTGTACCAATCTGAGCGAGGCGTACAGTTACTTCGTTTGGGCAAACTCTCGCTTCGTTACTTTTTGTTTGTAAATGCAGTTAACAAGTTCTTTTGTACTTCTTTGAGTGTTAATTGATGTAAACAAAGTCTGCATTTTATCTAATCCCACTGAAGCTTGTTAAAATTAGAGATGTGCCAAATTATTCCAAAGCAGGTTGTAAAGTAAGTGAACCATTAGATCCACTGGCTCGCAAATAGCATGTACAATGTGTGTTCTGTTTGCTTGTTTTTCAGTCAGAACTTTCAAATCACATTTTTTTGCACCTTTAATATTGCATTTAGTTAACCTGTACAGCAGGAGTATGTTACAAGCAGCAGGGCTGAGCAGTGTTGAGCGTGGCTGGAACCATTTCTGGAAAAGTCCAGGTATACGATGCTCAGAATTCTACCTAGTAGTCAGCTCTTTGTTGATTTTATATCCAGCATTTTCAGTTTTGCCTGGATGTTTGTTTCTTAGTATTTTCTCTTTGTGGGAATTGTGACTCGCAAAACTAGTTGTTATCTCAGGTTCCAGTGTATTATTTTAGCTATGGTAATCTAATATACAAGGCACCATGCTAGCCTCAGCTAAATCACAAAGGCATAGAGTGAGCACTAAGGCATCACTTCCATTAAAAAGTTCCATAAAACTTGGAATTGATAGCCCATCCTCAACTGCCTTAGGCTGTTAACCAGCTCTGATACCATAAACTGTAAAAATCCTGTTCTCCCAGGGCTTCTGTCGTTCTGTCCTTATCTGGTGATTCCTCCATGTCTTTAGTCGCTCCTTTGGAAACGGAGCCTCTTCCATCTCTTGCCTGCTCTGGGGACTCTGAGAGCTTTGTTCCTGCACTGTAAGCCTCACCTGCAGACAATCTCAATTACCAACACAGTTAAGTTGCTGTCTCTGCACTATAAACACAAAAGGCTACATCTCTTCTCCAGCTCTGATCCCCTTTCTGACTTGAATATCAGCTGATTTTCCCCAAGTCACTTCCTTGGGGAAACTCAGCGTGCATGCAGTGGAGCATGGGGAACAGTTCAGCACTGAAATCCAGAAGCGTGCTCATGGTGTTGCAGTACAGCTCACCGCCTAACTTCCATATGGGTAGCCCTGACAGTGAAGGGGTCGGTATGGATCTCTGAAAGAGATCCAGAGTTAATGCTTTAGCAGCTAGTGTTTGCTGTATGCTGTTCTGCCGGTGCTACTCTTACTCTAAGTACTTTAGAGTTGGGCACGTTTTCTCTCTTACACTTGCACTGCAGGCTCCTACAGGCTGTGCATTTCAGCCGTGAGTGCACAGTGTCTAACGTTATGAGATACACAATTGGGGCTTTCAGGATTCATAGTAATACAAATTATAAAAAAAAACAATTTCTGCAATATTTCCAAGTTTTCTTTAAAGTTGCAAGAGGTGACCGGAGGTGGATAACCTGTAATTGCACATTTTACCAAATCTCATAGCAATAGTGCAATTACTGCTAACCAGAAGTTTGATTCTTAAATGTAAGTGTTATTTCAGGCAAAAATGTTATATGCTTCTAGCGGAAGAGTATACTGCTGCCCTTAAGGTCAAGAAAGGTGGATCTAGAGAGATGGCTAGTGATTGATGTTTCCTGGATCTTGGGAACTGGCTCGCTAGATCTATGAAGGTTTTTGTGTGCCTAATTAGGAATTGGATTCATAAATAACCTTATGCACTATTAGTGACTTTAGCTTAATGTGCAGGGCTTTCTTCCAAGCAAAAATGTCTTATGGACTATTATTTTATCAGGTAAAGCTCAGATAATCTGGTGATGCACATTATATAAAACAGATCTGAAAAGTCAGTGTATATATAGATGTTTCTCTATCTTATCTTTCATAATTCTCTGTTTTTTCTAACTGCCAGCACTATAGTATCTAATCTTTCTAGCAAACAGGTGGCTCTTGCAGCATGCTTTACAATCAGTCAGACTTTGGCTCAGTCTAATTTGCTTAATCATATTAATTAATTACTTTTGTAAATGTCAGAAAAGTTCAGTGCACATTTTACTTTTTAAAAAGATTTTTGAAGATCTTTCTAGTAAATATGTAACTTTCAAATATCTGCAGTATTCTTACTGAAGCTGCAGAGCACAGTTACTCAGATAATTCAGTACAAGTAAGCTATTCGGCTTCCTTAGGCTTTTTTCACTTAACAAATTGACTTAAATTTATAGAAATTTATTTCCTGTTTTCCTAACTGTTTAATCAGGTGAGGCCAAACAATTTCAGCCTATGGTCTTTTCTAATTAGTCACCTATGTTATTTGGTAGACACAACGTGTGGCTGTTGCATTCAACATACTCCCTGACTGAAGGATGATATATTTTAGTGGCAGATAGAAACTGTAGTATAGAAATGATCTCATTTTTGCACAAATACCTTTTGTTTATGAATTGGAATTGGCTGCTGAACAATGTTTCTTCAAGTATTAGCAACCCCAAAAGTCAACTTATGAGCAGGAAATTAAAAAGATTGCATACCTCCCAAAGGTGGAATTCATGTTTGTTGTGAACAGTCTTTCTTGACCAATGCTATTTGTTAACAAAAATGATTGCATTATAGTCGTGACTTAAGTAGTAACAATAATGAGAGGTTGTGAACATTCACAGTACAAAAGTTGATAGTTTTGCACAGCGCTGTTTATCTGCTGTATGCCTATATTTGGACAACATGCAGTTGTCTAGTAAGAAATCATGAGAGCTCAAAGCCTAGGTGGTGACAGTTCTGAAAATAAAAATCCTAACACTATATAAAGGTCCACTGTTGCTGAACTGTAACCAGTCTAGGCGAAACGAAGGAAAACCAATGTTCTTATCCCAAGAAACCTTTGGGGAATCACTTCAAATAAAGCCTAATTGACTAACAAATCTGCAAATGGTGCCTTTCCGTACATCTGACCATTTCGTGCACTTATCATAATTTTTCTGCTGACACGTTTTCTGACTAATGGCATCTGATGCATTCAGTCTCCACTGCCAGTCTGGGAGTAGACAGCATGTTCCAGATGTGCACTGCAAGATCGCTGTCCTGCAGCAATAAGTCCTTCTGTTCCCATCTGTAACAACATTTAACTTTGAACAGACAGCTTTTCTTACTAGGAATTTCCCTTTTCTTTCGTGTTTATACTTGATTCAAAAGCATCAGACTCAGAAACTTAAAAAAAAAAATTTCTGCTACATAACGTGTTCAGGTTAATCGTTAGCTCTCCTCTTAATTCAAGATCAAGCTGACAGTAAGAAGCAAATGTATCTGTATAGGGACATACATACGCTGGTCCTTCAGATGGCTAACATTTCTAGTCTGCAAATGCCAATGCTGAGTTAACACCTGCCCGACAGAGGTGGCTTTTTTGTTTTTTGGTAGCTGGCGCGCTACTGTAGCCAGCTGAGGTGGTAGAGGCAGTGACAGCCTGCGTAGGTACCTGTTGTCACAAGCAGGTGCTCCGTGAATGAGACCTGGAGCTGGTAGAGAATTCTCCAGGTGAAAGTTTGTAAAAATGGTAATCCATTGAACCAATGTGTTTTCACGGAATGCATTTTTTCCTACAACATTTTTGTTTGGAAATACTTTTCTGGTTCAGGGTGGGAGTTCAGGGTTCAGAAAGGACGGCACTCAACAGCAGCGATACAGCTGATGACAGCAAATGTAGAGCCCAAACATTTTTATCGCCATCAGGTCTAATCCTGCACTATGAGTGCTACTGTCTTAGAAGTAGTCTTAAAATGTAAGCCCTTAAGGATTCCATTGTTTCATGCATACTTGCACTGCCGTAGCATTGTTAATACTGTTTAAGCTACTAGTCTGGATAGGGTCTCCTAATTTTACAATGATGCATGGAATTAGCAGGCATTATATAGAAAAAAATTTAGCAGAGCAGAAGCATGAGGGCTTGCTTTAATTGTCTGTGAATCTTCCTGTTTGATTTTGAGAGATGGTTGTATGTGGCATTTTTACAATGAAATGAAAATGAAGGTTAAACCAGAACATGGCCTTGTTCACTTTAAAGTTCACTACATCTCACCAGTCCTTCAGTGAGTGTGGGGTAAATTTAAGCAGAAGAAGGCAGATTTCATGTGGATCTGGATCAATTGACATTTTTTGGCAGAAACAATAGAAAACATATTACGCTGTGTTTTTATGTTTGTTTCCTCACACTGTGTGGTTTTGTCTGGTTTCTCTGCAAGCAAGGTTCAAGCTGGCGAGCCACTCAGTTTCCGTTTGATTTCTTTGTTGTTCGTTTATTGGAATTTGAGATTGGAAGCAGATACAGTGGATGCAAATCCAGGCGAGCCAAAATGTTTTCAGTCTGCCTGTGCAGCCCTGAAAGCTCAAGTCATTGAATTTTATACAGCAGTGATGCTAAGCTAATTCTTCCAACTCTTTTGGAATGTGTATTTCCATTAGGATGGATGTATTCACATAAACTAGTTATTTTAGTATTCTTCTGAACTGGAATGCAATTACTCACTCAAATTAGCCTTTTAAAATATTTACTAAAGGGGTTATGACATTCTGATCCTTCACAAGGGTATGGTCAAAAACTAGAAGTTTATCAAGATTCAAGATGTAAGCACATGAAATGGAGTATAAACACAGGTTATGTATACTCCATCTACATCAATAATATTTTAAAAACCTAATCAGTATAATATTGCTTGACAGAATAGCACGAGATAAACTAATATTTTCAGTTAAATTGCATAAAGGCAGTTTAAAAATAGGACTTAGCATTTGATCATACATTATTTTCTCTATGAAAGAACATGTGGAAACATTGTGAGAAATGATAATCCAACATAAACTATACAAATATACAAACTTTATCCGAATGCTCTAGGCAAGCCAATATGGTAACCAGTGTAAAAATACTCTACTGCTCACTACTAGCACATTTTCAGGATCCAATGTTAATTTTTTTTTTAATGTTTAAATATTTTTAATGTCTACAGGCAAGTCCAGGTAGAGCACTGGAGCATCAATGCCTTCATGTTTGAAGCTTTTTTTCAGCATCTGGCTCCCACCTGCCCACTTAGCATAATTATTAAGCATCACAAACTGTTTTGCTCATCTCCAGACTTCAAAGTCTCAAAGAGTAGTCCTTGTGCTCCTCTTCGGGCTTACCGTGTTCACAGGTAGGGCTGTGTGACTTGGGGGTTTCCAGAGAACTTTCTCACTCTTGTCAACCTGTCCATCTGCTCCGTTTCCACGCAGTGCAGCTCCTGAGGCTGAGCAGCTCTCTCCTGCTGCTCGCACAGTGCAGTATGAAGTCACTCAGAAGGCAGCATCTTTTAAGAGAAAAAGACCATTGTTCAACCCCTGCCAACCTAAGGATCCTTCTTCTGAGTTCCTCTGTAGGTCATCGGAGGAGAGAGCATTTGTCCACAGCTATTTCTTAGCATGAACTTGTCGACAATGTGCACGTTAATATCAAGGGATGTCTTTTCAGGGTGTGCCTGAAAGGGAAAATCAGTTCCCTCTATTACTTTTCTTGTGTCTTCCCTTCCTCAATATCTTATTGAGGTAGACTGGACTTTTAGGTAGAATGAGCCCCTGTAAGTTTTGATAGATTAATTTTTGACATTGTTGCTCATGGTATTCTATTCAATTTTCACTTCAGGTGCACCCTATTCTCCTTCCCTACCCCTTTCCGTGCTGTCCGTGATCCTCCGGGCAGAGATGTTGCATGTCCTCTTTCTTGCCCTTGCCTTGGGCAGGGTTGCGTGCGAGTGAAGGCAGGAACCTGCAATCGGGATTTGCCTTTCCCTGCCCATAGCCCCTGTGGGGCCCCATGCTGCACAGCCCCGAGTCCTGACTCTTGTCTCCAACCTTCTCAAACTGAATTCAGATCAAGTATGCTAGCTAAAAGCCGTCTCCCTCCAATTTACAGTGTTCGTGCTGGTTATTCTTCAGACTGAATCATAATTTTTTACTCTGTTAGGATATTTTCATTAAGGAAAAAAAAAGGACTATCTTCATAGGTAAGAGGACAATAGTGCTTTATCCCCTTGAATCTATGTGCCTCACTTTTCTTATCCAGATTACTTGCTGTGAAGGAAGAAGTCGAATCTTTCCTTCTACTGGAACAAGATCTCCATCCCTCTGGCTTGAGAGAGGGTTTTTGTAATTTTCAGCCCTGTCCTTAGGAGATTTCTTAGGGAAGTGTCTGAGATAGTCAGGCTCATGCACCTCTCCCTGCGGCATCTCTCTCTCACCTGGACCTGACTTTTCATTTTCACCAGGTGCAATGGCCTTGCTGTTTCACAGCATCACGGGGATTTGGGAGCACTCTTCAATACGTACAGGTGCTCAAGGGGAAAACAACAATTTTATACCTATGACCATTCCTCTCTGAGGTGTGTTTGCTCACATCATGGCCTCCAACCCTGCTCTGCACAGTATTTCTGTGCTTGAATGGTGAGGTAGGAATGCTTTTTCCCTGGCTTCCTGAAAGCCACACAGTAATGGTCATGTTTGGGCAGTCATGTTGGCTACTGTAAGAATTAAATATCTGATCTCAGATAGAAAGAGAGAGAGGGGGGAAAAAAAACCCAAAAACCATGCATAGTTAACACATCTCAGAGAACAAAAGTTACAAGTAAATAATCTTTCTTTTTGTGCTCAGTATAGATTCAGCTAGAGATATACATACACTGTGTTATAGAGGTGCTATTCTTTCATTTTAGTTGCTTTCGTTTAACTTAGGGCAGTTTAGGGATGTTATATGGATATTCTTTTATACTGAAAAGCATATAATCCTCAAAAATGTTAAAACCTAAACTTTCCTAAAACTGTTGTATTTAATTTTCTTGTATAAATTAATGCATCAGGCAAATTGTAAATATCAACAGTATTTTCTGAGCAAAAATGGTTTAGATAAAGGGCAGAAACAGAGAAAATACATCGAGTACATTAGGATGTGAGTGAGTTAAGAGTCTTTGATAGCGGTTACTCTGCTAGTCCAAATAATGACTAATTACCATGGCAATCCTTATGTTCTGTGCCATACGGACCCCACCATTCCTACTTAAAAGCACTAATGGCAAATATACATTGCAAACAGATGCCATGTGCACATATCATTTGAAAAGGCTTTTAGGAAAACAAGATTGCTGGTCTTTGGATAGAAGTAGAACAATTGCATTTCAGGATGGCAGAGAACCAGTGATTTCCATCCCTCAAGAGAGTACCCATATGTGATACCATTGCAAGAGGAGCAGAGGCAGAACGAGAGAGAAAAGTCTGGCTCAGGGCTGAGCACAAATCACCCTCTCCAGGTGCAGTCCTTCTGTGACAGCAGCGCACCTTGGTCTTAATATTTTAAGACCGAACGGGCTGAGCTGCTCCTATTTTACTTCTAGCTGGTGGTGTTCCTCAGCTGCCTGGGAATAAGTTTTGAAATCCCAGCTATTAGATAGCTCGTGGGTGTCCCCGTCTGAAGGGCTCTCTGGAGAAACGATTTTTCAGGACTTTGTACACCCAGAAATTAATATCCCTCTGCTCGTTTTGAGCTAACTTCTGTTCTGCGCAGCCCACTTGTCTCTGGCTAGACCATGGGAGTTTCTGCCAGCTCAGTTTACCTTACAGTAGCTCTGAAATAAAAAATGAAAATTATACATTTGTAATCCAGAGGCTGGTGCAGCTGCATTGTGAATAGGGAGGAAGGAGGAAGGGACTCTGCACCTACACAGCTGCCAGCCTGTCACATCCCTGGGGAGGTGCTGCACCCAGGACAGCTCTTGGGAGGGCTGCAGCCACCCCGTAAACCTGCACCTGTGTAATCTCAGCCTTCTGTGAAGGCTTAGTGTAAAACTTTGACTTAAGTAATGAATCAATTTAGAAGGGAAAGTAGGCCCACAGAAAGCAGATATCTTTTGAATTACAAAGGGCCAGTAATTTGAAAATGTGTAGTTAAATTCTGGCAAACACTGCACACCCATACTTGCCAGAACCCCGTGCTAGACAAAAGGAAAAAGAAACCAAAAAAGAAAAAGAGAAAAAAAAGGCATTTGGCTTGGAAATGTTTGCTCTGGTTCTTATCATAATATTCTGAGCTAATCATCACCTTGCATGAAATAAAAACAGAGGTCTTTTTAGACTTGATCCTAGAGATCAGGGGTTTTGGTCCACAGAGTCTGTGTAAATGCTCAGCCTACTGAGAAATTACCAGTATGTGCAGTCTCTCCCACTGCACAGCTTATCTGTGCTTCTGGCAGGAATAGTTTGTACCAGAAACAGTAGAGGCTGCGAGCACAGCTGCTGCCAGTCAAAGTCGAGGGACACATTAATGTTAGCTCTGCAGTGGTGGCCAGTCTGCGCAGCTCTAGAACTTGACATATCATAAGAAAAGCATGTCTAAGGAGAATTGATATGTTTGAAAATTGATCTGCAAGCAGCCTTCTACATTTAGAAAGTTTCTATCTGATATTTTTGCAACACATTTTCCTGTGTTGTACTTTTAGAGGGATTAAGATGTTCTGTTGTATAGTCCTCCACTATGCACACTTTCATATTAGTAGGGAAGTTTTGTATCTCAAATACTAGTGCAAGCTATTTCTCATATGGACTGCTGTTCACTGTCATTACTAATGTCAGTTCAGCAACCTGCTAATAAGCCTATATGACCACTGCAGTATCAAGGGAGGGAAATTATAACCAGTGACCCCATGGAAATGCAGGGTCATGAGATCTTCATTAATGAGACGTGGCCAAGAACTCACCCACTGTAACAGAGTAAACATATTGAGGAAAGTGCATTTTCTCTCTTAAAATATGAAGTTTTCCATGTATTGACCTTTGAAAGAGGAAGGCCTATCATGACCCAGTAATTATTCAATGCTCTATCTTTAGGGCATCAGAAGTATTTTAAAATCTGATCTTACATTTCCTCCAGCTACCTAGCCCTCCCTCTTGCACGTTAGTCCTACATTTTTATTGCTTTCTACTGCTACGCTACGAGGCCCCTCAGAGTCATGCTTACGCTACACATTCCTCCAGACGTTCTTTCACACTTCATAAGGCTCCAAACCATCATTAATTAGGAGACATTTCCTTCTGAAAGTCCTCTATATCTCTCTGATGGTGCATGAAGATTATATATATCTGTATCTATCTGTATTTCTCTGCTCCTCACCAAATTAATAGTTTATTCCTATTGGTCATTTTCATTATGGGACAGTGAAATCTGTCCTGGTGTCACTGAAAGTCATAAAATAAGGTAAGCTTACAGAAAATGTTTATGTAACTGAAGGCAACAGTGTGTTTTGTCTCTGTGCGAGTTTAACTATGTGTAATAGCTGTGCTCAATCAAGCCCTACTCATACCACTGCTGGTTGCAGTAATCCTTCCAATTATTTTTTTCAGCCAATCCCATTATTTGTATTTCAAGGTTTTTTTTTTTTAAAAAAAGATCCAACAGTAAATGTACCAGGTTAATATTTCCAATGTGTTGTAAAAGATTAATCCATATTCCTATTTTTTCTGTTTTAACTTCTGGGTGAAGCACAGAAAACATCCCTGGATAATTTGCACTATTAATATCTCTTCTAATGCTTCACTATATGGAGAAAAACACTTGGTCTCACTGCTTTATGCATAGGCTAAAGCTCAATGTGAAAACCTCAGCCTTCTTTTCACAAACCTTGAAGACATTTATCAGTGTTATGTGTAGTCAAACCCTTAGGATTCTTTTCTATCTCTCCCCCAGGACGTTATGGGACATTTTCCATGTATATCTTAGTGAGATTGTTCAGCACCGTATCCATTCCATCTACCTCCAACTTCACCTGAAGGGCAAAATCCTTAAGATCTTGACACAATACTGATAAATAAATGGAATTATTAAAGTTGCCATCTCAGCAGAATAGGATTGCTGCTGCCTTTGTTCTCAGGGGAATACATATTTCACCTAGTAGCAAGACACCCAACTGCTGCTACAATCAAAACTCTCTGAAATGCCTTTAAGCTAATCATCTTTGAACATAAGCCTTTGTTGTTAAATCAGGGACCTTCTAGATGTGAGGCACAGAAACCTTTTTTGTTTTTTCTCCACCTTGCACAAAACAGCTTTAAGCCTGTCACCGCTGACAGTAAGGTTCAGTGATCTGTCAACATTCACCCCAATAAAGACAGTGAGAGAAATCCGTGGCTCTGGAGAGTTCAGTAAAGACCAAACAGTATGTTTGCAAAAGAGCATTTTTATATGTTTTCTTGTGACAGCACTAGTTTAACAGAAAATAGTTGGAGTGTGCCAAAAAAAAGGGGGGAAAGAAAAAAAAAAAGAAAAAGA